TATTCTGTTCCAGTAGATGGTGCTGAATTGCAAGATTTTTACCTTTGTAGTCTCACAGTTTTAAGACTTGGTGGCTTCTATAGGACAGTACTGCCTCTAGTGCTCAGGGATGGGGTTTGTTTCCCCTCACTTTAATGGAGATCCCTGATATCCAGCCCAAACACTCCTCCTGGGGTACAGTCACGGAGGGAAACAGGAATTCTACTGCAACAACTCATGATTTACAGATAATATACTTCTAGAGGCGAGTTTGGGGAGTCTAACCAGTGGCAGGGCTCTGGTTATTTACTTTCTTTATCTGAAAGATCACCGCCAGGCCCAGAAGTGGGGAACTGTTAGGTAGCTCCCAGTGCTCTGTAAGGCAGGTGTCTGCTGACTACTCACCCTATTCACAGAGTGCCTGCAATACAGACACTGCAGTCTCTGGTTGATTGCCTGCAGGACCTCGCAACTCAGACAGACAATGTCCTCTCCTGCACTGGCAGCTCACAGCTTTCAGCTAGCAGATTGCCCTGCCAATCTTCTGGGATGCCCCCCACAGTTCTCAGTTCCTCCTGGCTGACAGAGGGAAGTACCTGCTACTGAAGCTGGCCTTCTCCCCTTTCTGAGTTCTGAGCTGTGCAGATGCATATCCTAGTTTCCCTCCTTTCTTGTCTCCTAGCTTATCCCAGGAAGCCCACCTTAGGTGTTTCAGTATGCTTGTCTCTCAAGTATGCATCTGTGTTGAGCAGGGACTTCTTTTTTGAATTACAGAACTTGTTGAACTGTCAGGGGGAGAGGAAAAGACATGCCCTTATGCCACCATTCCTCTGACATCATTCTTTCTATTGGTTTTGATTGTAGTAATTCTTTCATTGTTGTTCAGATCTAAATATTTGTTCATTTCCATTGTGGTTTCCTTTTCACCCAGGAATTTTAGGGAAAATTTTTAAGGTTTTCAAAAGTATAATGAAGTTTTAAATTATTTTCTTTTTATAGAATTCTAATTTAATTTTTTTGTGGCAGGAAACAGGGGCTGATTGATATTCTTGAAATTTACTAAAATATCCTAGTATATATATATTAAAATATATTTTTATTGATTTCAAAGAGAAAGGGAGAGAGAGTTAGAGCTGCCTCTGCACACCCCCTACTGGGAATTGAACCTGCAACCTAGCATGTGTCCTAGACTGAAATCAAACTGGGGACCCATCAGTCTGCAGGCCAATGCTCTATCCACTTAGCCAAACCAGCTAGGGCTCAATGGCTATATATTCTTAATTTTTTTTCAATTACAGCTGACATACAATATAGTATTAATTTTAAGTATAACAGCATAGTGTTTAAACATTTATAACTTATGAAGTGATCATCCTAATAAGCCTAATACCCATCTGACACCATACATAGTCATTATAATACTAGAGGCCTGGTGCATGAAATTTATGCATGAGGGTGTGTCCCTCAGCCCAGCCTGCACCTTCTCCAATCTGGACCCCCTCAAGGGATGTCTGACTGCCTATTTAGGCCAAGATACCGCTCTTACAATACAGGATTGTTGTCTCCCAACCACTCACCTACTAGCCTGCCTGATTGACCCTAACTGCTTCTGCCTGCCAGCCTGATTGACACCTAACTGCCCTCCCATGCCAGCCTGGTCCCCCCGCTCCCCAACTGCCCTCCCTGGCAGTCCTGGTCCCTCCCAACTGTCCTCCCCTGCCTGCCATCTTGTGGTGGTCATCTTGTGTGCACATGGGGACAGACATCTTGTGTGTTGGAGTGATGGTCAATTTGCATATTACCTCTTATTATATAGGGTTATTAACTATATTTTCTATGAGGATAACTATATTTTTTATTCCCATGATTTCTAATTGGTCCTTTTTCATTTAATGTGTTATTGTTTTATTTCTATCTAGTTTTGTTTCATAGTGTTTGGCCTTTTTTGTAATCCATAACTACATAATATTTCTGTGTATCCTAGAAATACTTGAAGTCTTTATCATATTACACACCAGACAATATGAAATGAATTTATATTATGATTATTGACTTTGAGTTTTTTTCTGAACATTTTTTTTACATGTTTGGAATTCCTGTTTGTAAGTACAACATTTTTTTTATTGTTGCCTTTTTTTGTTTGTTTCCTTTTCTACCTCTCTGCTCATTCCATCAGTACTTTGGAGTTCTCTTACTTTGGCCAAAGGCCCCAGGGTCAGATCTCTTAATATGGTATTTCATATTTCCTGTTGTTATGCTATCAGGGAAGGCCATTGATCCAGCCTTCTGTAAGGCAGTGCTCTGTAAGGCAGGTGTCTGCTGACTACTCACCCTATTCACAGAGTGCCTGCAATACAGACACTGGTTGCTTGTCTCCATTTACTGCTTTGGGTCTGTGGTTCCAAATAACCCCAGTCGGTGCTTGGCAGTAGTTTTTGTTTATTTCTTTTCATAAGTCCTTAGCTTGAGCTACAGCTGTGAATCTAGCTTTTAGTCCATGTCTTGAGAAGCACTGATAGTCCTTTTCACTCCACAAGAGTTGTCTTCCTATTCATTTCTGCTTACTTTTCGACTTAAAGTCCTTTAAATCTATGGTTTACCTCAAATCAAAGCCTTGAGTTTTTGTTATTTTTCTAGACAGTGAAACTGCTTGTCTTGTTTTGACTTGAGTTAATATAATCTCTCTTCCAACCCCTTAATCTATATGTTTGGAGCAAAAGGGATGTATCAAAGGTTCATTTACTGAGCTATCTTATTGAAAATCCACTTAGGCTTTTAAAGGCATTCTCTATAAGCAAAGAAAGAGAGAATGAAGAAAATAAAGAGCATTAAGTTTTTAAAGGAGCAATGAAAGATTGTCTCTGCTTATATGGCCATTCTCTGATAGCAAAGTTGAACCTTAGTTATAATCACTGCCTATTCTCCCCTAATAGCCAGAATCTTTATCATTACTTTTTTATTATCCAGCATCTTCCGCTCTTAGACCTGCTTCCTTCTCCTCACACCACTTAAAACTTCCCTTTCCTGAAGAGTAATCAGTACTCAGCTTCTTGTCAATTTATTCATATAATTAAAGTATCCAAGCAATTTGAACTATAAATTTGTGAACCCAATGACTCCTTAATTAGTCAATATGTGAAGTATATTTCATGTGTGAGTGGTGATGGGAGAAAGGGGAGCTAGACTTGACTAATGTTTATTCTTACAACCAGACAAAGGTCCAGGAACAGAATGAAGAGTCTCTGAGATGAGATCACTTGGAATAAGGAGGCACCAGCTATTCTGCCCTGACTAAGATCCCCTGCTATGAGGAGGAGCCAACACTATAGTGGCATATGTGATATCATTTTTCCTTTTTCTAATTGTTTAAATTGAATTTTATACCAATGTTTAAGATTAATTGGGTATTAGCTTGAGGTGGTTAAAAGTTGTTTGGGGAATTTGTTGTAATGGTTTTGCTATAAAAAGTATTCAAACTCTGCTGAAAAGCATGGTGCTGGTAACAGTTCAACATTCCATGGCTGCTCATTCTTGCCTACTTTTACTCTCTTTCTGAAGCAGATTAGTGTTGAAGATGGTATGGAAAAGTCTGCTTGCGTGTTCAATTCTTTGTTTCTTCTTCCCTCTCCCTGGCCTCCCCCTCCTTCACTTGCTCAACCTCTTTTGTTCAGTGTGTGTAACTTGAAGCTAATTTGTACTACTGGATATCTGACTGGAGCCACAGATACAGAATCTGTATGTTCTTACTGAAACATAGCATGGAATTAACATTAAATTTAAATAAAACAAACCTAAATTGAAAATGCCAAAAAAAAAAAGCTGAAACCGATTTGGCTCAGTGGATAGAATGTCGGCCTGCAGACTGAAAGGTCCCAGGTTCGATTCTGGTCAAGGGCATGTACTTTGGTTGTGGGCACATCCCCAGTGGGGGGTGTGCAGGAGGCAGCTGATCGATGATTCTCTTTCATCGATGTTTCTAACTCTCTATCCCTCTCTGTAAAAAAATCAATTAAAAAAAAATCTATGTGGCCCAGCTGGCATGGCTCAGTGGCTGAGTGTCCACCTATGAACAAGGAGATCAATTCCCAGTCAGGGCACATGCCTGGGTTGCGAGCTCGATCCCCAGTGTGACGCGTGAAGGACCCCATCAATGATTTTTGTCATTATTGATATTTCTATCTCTCTCTCCCTCTTCCTTCCTCTCTAAAATCAATAAAACTATATATATTTTTAAAAACTATGTGATTTCCCTGGCCGGGTGGCTCAGTCAGGCACATACCTAGATTGCAGGTTTAATCCCTGGTCGGGACAAATATGGGAGGTAACTAATTGATGTTTCTCACATATCTCTCTCTCTCTCTCTCTCTCTCTATCTCTCTCTCTTTCTCTCTCTTTCTCTCTCCTTCATCTCTCTGAAATCGATAAAAAGCATATTCTCCAGTGAGAATTAGAAAAAAACCTATGTGATTTCTGGAATCCCTTTGCCACCATTTCCTTAATCTTACAGGATATATAAAACAAGATAAAGTCTTTCAACTTGGTCCACATATGATCAGGCTAAAGAAAGATAAGACCTTTAGCGTCATTTGGCTCAGTGAAACATATTTGATGATTAAGGAATCAAAAGAGTCACAGGGTTGTAAAGGATCTAACAGAGGCTATGGCTCTTTTCACAGAAAAGTACAAACACAAGTTTTGTATAGAATTTCAGAGAGTTTGTATATGTCTGGTTAAGGTATCTTCCAGCTTAGGGAGAAGCAATGGGCTCATATAGTATTCTGTAAGGGTTTAAAATGTCCAATTCTTGAGTGCTGCCAATGCCCCAGCAGAGAGGTTGAGGTCATCATTGGATTTGAAATATTTAAAGTGGATATAAAACTGTTTCAGCAATACAGACAATTAAGTGTGTCGTTGTGGGCGATGGTGCTGTTGGTAAAACATGTCTTCTGATATCCTACACAACAAACAAATTTCCATCTGAATATGTACCAACTGTTTTTGACAACTATGCAATCACAGTTATGATTGGTGGAGAGCCATATACTCTTGGACTTTTTGATACTGCAGGGCAAGAGGATTATGACAGATTACGACCGCTGAGTTATCCACAAACAGATGTATTTCTAGTCTATTTTTCAGTGGTCTCTCCATCCTCATTTGAAAATGTGAAAGAAAAGTGGGTGCCTGAGATAACTCATCGCTGTCCAAAGACTCCTTTCTTGCTTGTTGGGACCCAAATTGATCTCAGAGATGACCCCTCTACGATTGAGAAACTTGCCAAGAACAAACAGAAACCTATCACTCCAGAGACTGCTGAAAAGCTGGCCCGTGACCTGAAGGCTGTCAAGTATGTGGAGTGTTCTGCTCTCACACAGAAAGGCCTAAAGAATGTATTTGACGAAGCAATATTAGCTGCCCTGGAGCCTCCAGAACCAAAGAAGAGCCGCAGGTGTGTGCTACTATGAACATCTCTCCAGAGCCCTTTCTGCACAGCTGGTTTTGGCATCATACTAAAAGCAATGTTTAAATCAAACTAAAGATTAAAAATTAAAATTCATTTTTGCAATAATGAAAATGCCCTGCACCTACCCATATGCACTCGTGTGAAACAAGGCCCATAGATATGGTCCCTTTCCCCCCCTCAATACTAGTTAATTTTGAGTAATTGTGTATTGTCAGAAAAGTGATCAGTACTAGTTTTTGTTTTGTTTTTTGTTTTGTTTAAAAGCAAGGCATGCTTGTGATGACTCCGTAACAGACTAATTCGGGTTGTTGAAGCTGCTCCCAGGTTCCACTCTGGAGAGTGATCTGAGACATCTAGTATTTTTTGTTTGTGTGTGGTGGGAGGGGAGGGGTGTGTATGTGGAGTTTGTTTTCATTTAGTCATTTTTTAAAAATCCTTTAACCTCAGCCCTTTAGGTGAGGAGGATGGAGTGATTCCACATTCCACTTCCTCGATCTAGTTTAGAAAACAGGTTCCCCACCGGTGCTCTTAGGGAGGAGTATAGTAAACGCCTCATTTAATAACATACTCCTTTTTGAAAGTTGCCTTTTCTCTCCACCCTCGAGTAGGTTCAGTATTTGATGAAACTCATGCAAGTGGGTGGAACCTGTCTTGCCTCCCCCTCCCCCTTTCTAGGATGCACTCTGTACATGACTGACTTTCAAGGAAATTGGTTAGCCGTTTGCTGATATTTTTTAAGTTAATGTCTAACTTCTTTCACTGATGAACGAAGAAAAGTATTGCACCTTTTGAAATATACCAAATGGATTAAGTACATAATTTAAATAAACATTTTTTCCTTGTCAGTCATTGTCTTACATGCTTAGCATAGATGTGCAGCTTAATAGTGTATGAAACGGTTCCTAGAACACAGCTGAAGACCTGGTATATATGAGGGGTGCTGGAAGACAGATGTCTGTGGAATGATTCACATCCTCTTCAAGTTATGAGGATGGAGACCTGCTTCATTAAGAAGCTAGGGGTGGGGTGGGAGTGGGGAGAACATTTAACAACATGGGGACCAGTCAGGGGAATCCCCTTATTTTTGTTTTGCATGGGGAACCCTAGAGCAGCCAGTCGAGGCTCTCTAGTTTAATAAAAACCATGGAGAGAGTCTTATGAAGACTCTTCATAAGTGTTAATAGGGATTTTATCAGTTTATTTTGGTCGCAGTTCCCAACATTTAAAAAAAATGTTTAGGTAATATTCTCCACCTTCCCCAAATCCTAATTCATGTAGTTTCATTAGTGTTGAACCAAAGCTTTCTCATGTCTCAATTCTTTGTATATGCATTCTTTTCAGATGTATTAAACAAACAAAAAACCCTTCACAAGCCAAAATAAATAAATAAATAAATAAATAAATAAATAAATAAATAAAATGTCCAATTCTTATAGGAAATGGGACCCCATGGATTCACCCAGAATCCCTGCCCCCCAGCACTTCCCAACACCTTTGGGTGATAGGTATTATTTTCATTGGTCTTCATTCCATTTCTGGTAGCTATCTTCAGTTCAAACTGAACAATATTGTCTAAGTACCTCCATCCATGCTCACAGCCACAAATAATGAGATTTTCAAACAGAATTAGATGACATTTTACTCCATTGCCCACTTTGGTTCATGATACCACTGATGCCCAAAGATATCTCTGATCCACACACTGCATCTATTGCTAGTTTCTTTCATTCATGACCCTAAACACTGATGTTTTCTTATATATTTTTTTCTTAATGAGATTTCATTACTTTCTTTTGATTATCATACATATTTTGAGTCTAATGCATACAAAGGACACTTCATCAGCTTTAATGCTGTCTCCTTCAGTAATATGGACATGATATTAAGTGAGATTTTTTTTAGAGTCTACACAATCATTTCCAACTTAGTAATTTCTCCCCTATTTTTAAGACAAGCAGTAATTGAGTTTTCTTATCACCATCACATTTCTGCATTTGATAGTTCTGCATTTGGTAGTTCTGAATTTGATAGTTTTTCCTCTTCATCACTTGGAGATTCCATCTCAAACCTTGACTCTTCTTCTTTGGCAGGCGATACTGAAGTCACTGGACCAATCCCCAGCCTTGACCTTTCTGTGGGAATCACAGTGACATTTTGATCAAGGGGAGGAGATCTGAATGTTATGTAGTTGAGGAAGGAGATGATCCCTGTGGGAAGAGAAGAATTTGAGATGAGTTATAATAGATACCTGGTCTTTTGACTTATAAAATTCATACTCAACCTTTAAATCCTTAGTTCAAAGGACCTCTTTTCAGTGAAACCAAACCTCCTTTCCCTTAGCAGAATTACTTTACAGTCCTGTGTTCTCATTCCATTATAGTATTTTCACATGGTTAGGACAAAGCTTGAACCTCCTGGAATCAAATCATAGTTCAACTGCTTTCTGTGTAGTTATAGAAAGTCACTCAACCTGTCTATGCTCATTTAGTGGTAGGACAGATTACTAATTCTAAATTTTTAATTTCATACCATACTGCTCTAAATAGGAATAGTCAGTGCTTTTATTTTTCCTAGATTCCACCTCTCTTTCAAGAAGCGTATTCCCCTTCCATCCTTCTGGGATAAGGCAGGGGACTGACTCACCAGCAAACATATATAAGAAGTCACTCCACCAATTAAGATAATAGGTCCACAGGAGGTTTGACTCCATGGCATCCCTGGTGTGCCAGTGAACCTGTGCCAGAAATAGGATGAGGCAGAAGAGCAAGCAGATGGCTAGGATCAGAAGAAAAGATGTCAAAACCTATCAGTGTCTTCAGTCTGCCTTGACCACCACCCCCAACTCTTCTTCTGCTTCCAGATGCCATTTGTATGACAGGATCAAAATTTGGGGATTGACCAGGTGCGAGAGAAAAAAGGGCTTCTACTTCTCTCCTGGCATTTCACTGAAAATGTGCTTTATATAATAAGACAGGGCAAGTAGCTGGTAACTTGATGTAATATTGAAAGAGAAAAGGGACAAGAAAAAGAGGATGAAAACCCCATAGAGAAATTTTGTTCCCTTGACAATTTTACCCTGGCATCATCCTGCCAATCTATGGTTGTACCTGAGATGAAGCTGATCATGGATACCTTCAGATCCAAGTTGGTGGTCATGCTTCCTCTTCTAGGGAGGCAAGAACTTAAGATCAAGCCAACACCAATGAGTATGGTGAGGACAGAGATTAGGAAGAAGGCCTTGGAATATTGGAGATAATCTGCCAATGAGAAGTAGAAAAGTAAAGGCTTGGTTACTTGGTTACTGAGAGGTTCCTTCTCAGTGGGAAATATCTCTCAAGAAAACCAGATAAGAGTCTTTAAGAAGGAAGTGAGGACTAAGGAAATTAAACTAAGCTTGCTATGTGGCATCCAGAGAATTAATAAAGATCTTCTTGCTCAGCTCTACAATGATACTATAATTAGAATGTTTTTACTATGAAAGAAAAGCCTTCATTGCAAAACTAAAAATAATATACAAATAGTTCTGAGCATATTAACACATTAACCTAGATGTAAACTATCTAATAAGAAGTATGACTTGCCCTAGCCAGTTTGGCTCAGTAGATAGAGTGTCAGCCTTCGGACTGAAGGGTCCCAGGTTTGATTCCAGTTAAGAGCACATGCCCAGGTTGCGGGCTCAATCCCCGGTATGGTGTGTGCAGGAGGCAGCCATTCAATGATTTTCTCTCATCATTGATGTTTCTCTCTCTTTTCCTTCCTCTCTGAAATAAATTTATAAAGATTTTTTTTAAAGAAGTATGACTTTAACATCACAAACAAATTAAAATATTTTTCTTGTTCCCAATTCTAATTCTAAAATAGGGATTGGAAATACTATAAAAAAGAGGAATAAAATGAGCCACAATCCCATGACCCAGAGGCAACAACCACTGTTAGTATTTTGTTTTATTTCTTTCTAGTATTTTTCTGTCTTCTATACATAGTAGATATAATATTCAACATCATGTAATTTTCCCCTTGAGATTATATGGTAATAATTTTCCCATATCACATTGTTAATATAATTTTTAATGGCTACAAAATAGTATGTTGTACTTTGTTTAATGATAAACCATTGTTGGGGTTTGATTCTATTTTTTTCTCTTTCAAATTAATCAGATATATATAATATATATATATATATAATCAGATATATATAATATGATTATATATATATTATTTGTTTAATATAATTTGAAAGAGAAAAAAAATAGAAACAAACCCCAACAATGGTTTATATATATATATAGGCCTTGTCAGCCATTGATTACAAAATGAAGTCACGTCTACTTTAATTCCTATATTCTAATAATTTCATGCCCTCAGTTTACTGGATTGCAAGAATTTAATACTCCCAAAATATCTCCCTTTTTACCCTCTTGAAATTCCCTCACGGTCCTATATCACCTTTGTTCAAAGAGAGGTCTGCTAAAGTTCTTTTGCTCCAAAGCCCTTACTCAAGTTCCACATATTCCTCTCCCCTCTTCTCTTGGCTCCAGATCTTTGTTACTTCAATAGGATGTTGGTAAGAGAGAAAGAGGGGCATGCTAAACCTTACTTTTTGTTACCACATTCCTGATATGCAACAGATCCTTCTTGACTTCGCAGCAATGTTTTAGGAAACAGAGGCTAACCTTTCCAACCTGGGCCTGGCAGAATGGCTCCTACAAAAAAGGTGAGAATAAGGGCTGTTCTGCCATCAACAAAGAATACACCACTAACATTCACAAGCACATCCTTGGATTGGGTTTCAAGAAGCATGTCCCTCAGATGCTCAAAGAAATCAGGATATTTTCCAGGAAGGAGATGGGAATTTCAAATGTGTTCATTGACACCAGGCTCAACAAATCTGTCTGGGCCAAAGGAATAAGGAATGACCCATACCATGTGGGGTGTGGTTGTCCAGAAAATGTAATGAGGATGAAGATTCACCAAACAATCTCTATAAGTTGATTACCTATA